GGAAGCCTGGGTGGCTCAGTTGGTTAAGCGCCTGCTTTCGGCTCAGGTCATGATCCCAGAATCCTGGGATCAAGTCCCACATTGGCTCCTTGCTCAGTGGGGAGCCTGCTTCTCCCTCTGCCTGCCACTCTCCCTGCTTGTGTTCTCGCTCTCTCACACACAAATAAATAAAATCTTAAAAAAAAAAAGAATTTTGAACCCATTAAAACAAAAGTTTAATGAGAAAAAAATATATATAAAGGGCACAAATAAACTGCTATCAAGGAGTGCTGTTCTCATGTGCCTTTCCCAGGAATATACCAGAGAATGAGATTCAGAAATCAAAATGACAAGAAAGACATCAAGATAAGGTCTAGTGCTAAGTATTAAATATATAATTACACATAGAATTACTCACACCCATGCCCATACCAGCTGAATATTCTCCCATCCCCATCATTAACATGAACATCATTAATTCAACAAATATTTAGTGAGTATCTTTTACAGGACAGGTACTTATTCGTGTCATGCGGCATGCTAGGATAGGTTGAGTTGGGTGGGAAACAAAGCCTGGGATAAGGCAGCAGTAGGAAAGCAACTGATTGAAAAGGTGGACCCTCTCTTAGCTGGAGAGATGTATCGAAGTCTTTTTTTTTTTTTTTAAAGATTTTATTTATTTATTTGAGAGAGAAAGAATGAGAGACAGAGAACATGAGAGGGAGGAGGACCAGAGGGAGAAGCAGACTCCCTGCTGAGCAGGGAGCCCGATGCGGGACTCGATCCTGGGACTCCAGGATCGCGACCTGAGCTGAAGGCAGTCGCTTAACCAGCTGAGCCACCCAGGTGCCCCTGGAGATGTATCGAAGTCTTAACATCTAAGCTCAGGGAGAGTGGCTAAACTCGCAGCCAGACAATGGCATGCAAGGGATGATCTGTTCTGAGAGGTAAGATGGGAGTGGTGACATCTGGCTTTGGGAACTCTGGGCAATTGTCATAGCACCAGGGGCAGACCTGGACCCAGAACAATTGGAACTGAGGGTGCCTAGAAGACCAATCCAGCTGTGGAGATGGCAGGTGCAAAGTTAGAGGGTGGAACAGGTTTTAGGAGGCCTGCTTCCTACTTTGATTTCTCAAAATGCAAGCCTTAGGAAGCTGCAGGCACCTAGATGTTAAGATACCCAAAAGTACAGATGCCTAATAGGCTGACACAAAGAAACTGCACCTGAATAATGCTATTCATGGGCGCCTGGGTGGCTCAGTTGGTTAAGCAACTGCCTTCGGCTCAGGTCATGATCCTGGAGTCCCGGGATCGAGTCCCGCATCGGGCTCCCTGCTCGGCAGGGAGCCTGCTTCTCCCTCTGACCCTTCCCCCTCTCATGTGCTCTCTGTCTCTCTCATTCTCTCTGTCTCAAATAAATAAATAAAATCTTAAAAAAAAAAAAAAATGCTGTTCATGTCAAGAGCTAGGTTGTCCTGCATACATGGTCTATCTTAGAATGCCTAGTGCAATAGAAAAATATTTCTATTTGTATATTCTCTTACCACTATGGATATTTCTACATTCTACTTACCACTATGGAGAGAATATATCATATTCAATGGGGCAGATAATAATAATAACCATCACCATTTATTGCACATACCATATGCCAGACACTGTTCTAGTTACTTAATGAGCTGTATCTCATTTTATCCTTACCACAACCCTCTGAGTTAGCTATTATTGTTTAGAGAAGAGGAAACTGAGCCTGGTCTAGTAAGTTTAAATTAATTTGCCCAAGATTACACGGCTGTAAGTGGCCAAGCTAGGATTCTAGCCCAAGTGTGACTCCAAAACTATCATTACGCCATACCCATTTTATCACACCGTTCCAGTACCGTGTTGAACCCTTATTGTCATTTAAATAATGATTAGATTGGTCTGTTTCTTTAGTAAGCAAAACTGGGATCACAGCCCATCTCTTAGGATGTCTTGCTAAAATGACAAGACCATGCTGCCCTCTATCTATCAGCTTCAGTGATGTTGGCCACTGGTAATTTTCAAAATAAATAAGAATATCTGACATTTATATTGTGATAAACACTTTATAAAAACACCTTACTCAAACTTGCCACATATATTATGAGCACTGAAGCCCACACATATACACACAAAAATCAATGCAAAAATTTTAATGAATATGAATTCGATTTGTGGTAAAGGTCAGTTATACTTATGTAGTATTCACTTTTTCTAGAACCAGTCACCTAAAACTTTATTTTTACTTTCACAGAAGTAAAAAAGTGATTTAGGTTTTTTCACACTTTTGTTTATTTATCACTTCTTTAATGGAAAATTCTGAAGATACACAAAAGTAGAGAGAATTAAACCTCTGAGCATCATTCAGCTTCAACAATGATCATTTCCCCAATAAGTTTAATGACATGATTTCTGATAGAGTTATCTCTTAAATCCTTTATAATTACTACTTTATTCAGATATTATCTTGGTGTTTCCTTATCATTGGCACAATTACTGCCTTATACTAATTAACCATGGCTGTTGCAGGGGACATTTGATATACTATTAAATGCTATTGTTTAAGTTAGCTCACTAGAGCCCACAAGGTATTTCTGTTTTACCTGGAAATATGATTGTTATGAGTTTTAGGTTTTGCCTTAGCTTGGGTTTGAAAATGAATCTGTTTGATATCTGTTGCCCCCACTGGGCTGGTCCATGTTTAACCACACTGACCATCCAATTTTAATCCTCTTTCTGTTAACACTGAAACAGAGAAGAAATTTATCCTCTGCAAAGATAATCAGAACAGAAAATGTAGCTGCTGGAATTATGGCAGTGTGCATAATAATATATTTCATAGCTATTTGTAGTGGGTCCATTTAGAGAGTTATCTGATGCTTGTTTTTTTTTT